TATTTAAACCCCCGGTGGATTTCCCTATTACGGCTTCTGAAATTAACATGCCCCTTCCGGAAAAGGGGCCAGTGTAGACGTAGCCGGTGTGAAGAACACCCTGCCGGTTATCGGTGCTAAATGTGACACGTGTTCATAGACTGTCCCCTTGTTCACGTATTACTAGACAGGAGGGCTGGAAGTGTCCTCCCTGCCTGCTGTGTAGCGTCCAGCCCTTTGTACACATCTACTTCATCCCAGCCCAGTCACCTCGCGAAGCAAAACAGTCACAGCCTTTCCTGCCGCTCTCCAGACTGCCCATTTCCAAAGCACCTTTCGCTCCGCAGGGCCCGACTGTAGACGGGGCGCCCAGCCCAGAGCGTCAGCACCGCTGGTTACAAGGGGCTTCCAGGTCTCGCCTCATACAGCCTTAAAACGGGGCTTTCGGCCTCTGCTGTGCACTGAGCGAAGGTTTTCACTGGGCTGTCGGGGCCTTTTTCTTAGCTGAGCCAGTGAGTCCAGAACCCAGTTCCTATTATTCCCGCAGGGCCCGACTGTAGACGGGGCGCCCAGCCCAGAGCGTCAGCACCGCTGGTTACAAGGGGCTTCCAGGTCTCGCCTCATACAGCCTTAAAACGGGGCTTTCGGCCTCTGCTGTGCACTGAGCGAAGGTTTTCACTGGGCTGTCGGGGCCTTTTTCTTAGCTGAGCCAGTGAGTCCAGAACCCAGTTCCTATTATTCCCTCTCGTGCCCATCTCTTCGCCTTTGCCAACAATGAATTCCACGTGCTAGCGTGTTTCCTGTTTGCCCGGCTCGGGTTGGCCCCTCTGAGGTTCCTTCCCCGTTCCCACTGGGGTGCAGAGTAAGGAACTCCGTGAGGTGGAGGCAACGGAAGGCCCCCGTTGGTTACCATGGCCCCCCGCACTGTTCTAACAGAAATAAGTCCTTGCCGTAGGGCTGCCTACCCTCTAGGACTGTCCTGGAGCCTCCCAGAATGAAAGCTTCATCTTTGATTAACCACTGTGCCAGGCGATGAAACTTCCAAGGACACACGTAGCCCAAACTGGCAACCCCACCCGGCCACAGACAGGCCACCCTGCCCCGCCTGCCCGGCAGAGCTAAAAGCGATGGCTTGCCCGTGCTGTGGTTATTCCTTGTATTCTAGTTACATGATCCCCTGTGACAGGCCAGGCCCCACTTGTGCTAAGAACGAAGGGGCAGCAACCCCCCTGGGAGACTTGGGAACCCACTGCCCAGGAGAAATCGCTAAATCCCGAAGGTGGCTCTGAAAGATCAGGGGGGCTGATGGACCTGCTGGGGCCCTGGGCGAGGTGTGTGTGTATGTGGGTGTGTCTAGACTACATGCCTAGGGGATAGAGCAAGGGTGTCTGGTTTTGTGTAACTAGAAAGTTGGCAACCCTAGCACCAGTGGGGAGGACCCAATTTCATGCCGGGACAAGCACCATCCTTGCAAATCCCAGCTTTCTTGGTCTGCTCTTGGTCTACTTTCTTGCAGCTACACTGAGGGCTGAAATTTAATCATGTTGAGGGAAAGCACGAGGCCTGAGAAACATTTAAGCCCTGGAAGAAAGTATAACACCAGAGTTTATTTAAGATATTGGATTGCTGGCCCCTCTGCCCACAGAGGCTTTTCATTTTTCTGACCATGTACACTGAGTTCAAGTCCTTCCTTGCGAGTTTCCAGACATCGTATGTTGTGCACGTTATTTATTTTCTGCAAAAATAAATAAGCTTCTAATGCACAGGAAACAGTATTTTCCTGTGCTCCCTGCCTTGTTTAAGGTTCATGGCATCAGCAACCCTGTTTTCCTCTTGTATACTCCCATTTTATGCATAATATTTTACTTGCTCCTGCTTATTGCTGAAATGCTGACAGAACGCTGGCGCAGAATGAGATATTGGATTTTCTTTTTAAATGGAAAATCTTGTACAAAGGTTGGGTAGGAAAGAGGAGTAGTAATGCAGAGACATTCTTATGCACTTAACTCATTGTAGTTGATGACTGTAAAGGCAAAATGTTCTGCGCACAGACAGTGGGAGACAGACCCAGGGCCTGTGACCAGCCCTCTTCCCAGGCTCTCACCCGGGGCCCTTCCCCACGGCGAGGGCCAGCAAGACCTGGGATGACGGAGTCGCCCCGGATTTGCCAGGGAGCAGAATTCAGTCCCGTCACTCTCCGGTGGTGCCGAGAGCCAGAGAACTATCGGCGACCCAGAGAGGGGTTCTGGGGTCTCCACACACTCCACGGGCCCCTGCCCAGGAGGGTGCAGTGAGACCCAGCGCCCGCCTGGCGCGGCGCCTCGCAGAGCCCTCTCCCTCTCGCTCCCTTGCAGGGCGATGCCCTCGAGCAGGCCATCATCAGCCAGGCCCCTCAGGTCGAGAAGCTCATTGCCACCACCGCCCACGAGAAGATGGCCTGGTATCACGGCAACATCTCCCGGGACGAGGCGGAGCGCAGGCTCTACACTGGAGCACAGCCTGATGGGAAATTCCTGTGAGTATCCAAAGTGCTGCTGGCCTGTTGCCATGTTAGGGCGATGCCCTCGAGCAGGCCATCATCAGCCAGGCCCCTCAGGTCGAGAAGCTCATTGCCACCACCGCCCACGAGAAGATGGCCTGGTATCACGGCAACATCTCCCGGGACGAGGCGGAGCGCAGGCTCTACACTGGAGCACAGCCTGATGGGAAATTCCTGTGAGTATCCAAAGTGCTGCTGGCCTGTTGCCATGTTACGGGGGAGGCTGCGCTCGGGCCTGTGGAAGCTCTGGCTCCAGGCCCAGCCCCTGTCCCCAAAGGAGCAGAGCCGGAGTCCCCCAAGCTGGGGAACCCAGAGGGGGCCACACGGCTATACAAGGCAAAAGTTGGAAGGGCAGCCGGGGGGTGCCCATGCCCCATCGCCACCCTTGCTGGTGGGGGGCGCCAGGCGGGGAGCCGGGGGAGAAGGGAGCGCACGCAGCCGGCTGGAGACAGGCAGCCGCTTCCCCTTCTGGTGGGAGAGAAAGCAGCCGGGGAGTCTCCTCAGATGAGGCCCCACCCGAGGTGAGACCCCCTGGCCTGAGACCAGGCTTGTTGCAGAGGGAGCCTGTCCCACCTCGCCAGGAGAGGCTGCGGCCAAGCCCAAAGCCAGCCATTCAGGCCCTCCCCCTCCCCCCAGGCTGAGAGAGAGGAAGGAGACGGGCACCTACGCGCTGTCCCTGGTCTACGGGAAGACGGTGTATCACTACCGCATCGACCAGGACAAGTCCGGCAAGTACTCCATCCCCGAGGGGACCAAGTTCGACACGCTGTGGCAGGTACGGAGCCGGGGGCGGGGCGGGTCTCTCGCCCCTGTCCCGGGGGGGGGGGGGGACGGTTCACCCACGGCATCACCAGCCCCAGGAGGCCTTGTGTCTTTCCAGGGCCAGCCACGGGAATTAGCTCGCCAGACGCCTCCCTCCTGCCGGGCTCTCCCCGTCGTCTCGCTCCTCCTCTAGTCCAGACCCAGCTCAGTCCTAGGCCAGGACTCGGTCCGCTCCACTGTCTGAGCCCCCTTCCGGGGATGGGTGTTTAGCCAGCTTTGCACCCCAGGGTCCTCCCCTCCCCAGGGCACCCCATTCTCCTCCCATGGAACACCCAGTCCCCTGCCCCCACTCTGCCTCAGTGACCCACTGCCAGCCTGCACCTAGCCTCTGCTGTCTGCAATGGCCACTCAGCCCTGGCAAGGGGGTGGGGAACCTGCTGCCTTTGCCTGCTTCTCTGCAGCCCTAGTGCCCTCGGGGCCTGTAGCCTGAGAACTAACTTGGCCAGAGCTTTGCTGCCGCTGCCACCCAGTCCGTCCTACTCCCTATCCAGAGCAGCAGTCAGTTCCCTTCTCCGGCCAGGAACCCTTCTTTATATGGCCCCCAGCTGGGCCCTCATTAGCAGAGCTGCCTCAGCTGGGGCTTTGCTCTCCGGCCTCGCTCAGGGCTGGGTTTTGCCCTCCAAGGGCCAGTGCCTGGCACCGTCCTGTCTCAGGCAGCATTAACCCTTTCCTGCTTGAAGTGTCCCCCCACTGTCAGTTCCGTACAATAAGACGAGTTGCTCTCTGCTGCTGTCCAGAGTAACCGTCACCTCGTTCCCCCCGGGCACTGCATGGAGGGACGTGGGCACATGAGTAACAGGAGCAAGACAGGAGAAGTTCTTCTTCTGCTCTGCTCCCAGCTCAGGCCTCAACTGGAGTCTTGTGTCCAGTTCTGGGCACCGCATCTCAGGCACGATGTGGAGAAATTGGAGAAGGGCCAGAGAAGGGCAACAAAAATGGTGAAAGATCTAGAGAACATGAGCTAGGAGGGAAGGCTGCAAGAATTGGGCGTGTTTAGTCTGGAGACCGCGGGGGGACATGAGAGCAGTTTTCAGGTATCTAAAAGGGAGAAAACTTGTTCATCTTGGCCTCTGAGGACAGGACAAGAAGCAAGGGGCTTAAACTGCAGCAAGGGAGGTTTAGGTTGGACATTGGGGAAAACTTCCCGCCTGGCAGGGGGGTGAAACACTGGAATAAATTGCCCAGGGAGGTTGTGGAATCCCCATCTCTGGAGAGATTTAAGAGCAGGTTGGACAGACACCTGCCAGGGATGGTCTAGACAGTGCTGGGTCCTGCCATGAGGGCAGGGGACGGGACTTGACGACCTCTCGAGGTCCCTTCCAGTCCTAGTGTTCTAGGATTCTAGGATTATCTTTCCCAAGGAATGGAGTGAGCCAAGGCCCTTTATTTCTAGCTCCCTGGCCTCCACGCTTTCAAGGTCAGGACCCTCGAGGTGCCCTGTTAACTAAGCTTCGGTACCTCGCCTTAGGCTCACACACTTAACGCTAGAGATCCTTGCCTGCAATGAGTCCTGACCAGGGCTGGCTCTAGTTTTTTGGATTCTAGGATTATCTTTCCCAAGGAATGGAGTGAGCCAAGGCCCTTTATTTCTAGCTCCCTGGCCTCCACGCTTTCAAGGTCAGGACCCTCGAGGTGCCCTGTTAACTAAGCTTCGGTACCTCGCCTTAGGCTCACACACTTAACGCTAGAGATCCTTGCCTGCAATGAGTCCTGACCAGGGCTGGCTCTAGTTTTTTGCCACC